AGATGGCGATGACTTGGTGGTGACTTCACCCAGCAGTGGATACATCATGATTGATGATTAAACAAATATCTTTCTTCATGCATAATGGTAATGATGACAATAATCATCAAATTGCCGTGAATGTGAATTGCAAACTACATTATCTGTGTTCCCTGTGCTATAGAACGTACATATGCAGCCTGCAATGGTTATTTGAAGGACTTACTTTACACCATAAATAGCTTTTACCAGCACTTCCAAAAGTGCCAAAGCTTCGTGCTGATTAATTACCACCTTTGAAGACATAAAAGGCTGATATTCTTGGTTCTTTTTATCTGCTCAAATGACACTGGGGAACACTCTATATAGTCACCAGTGAGTGGCAAATCTTATTTTTCCTTTAATCTTGTGAGACACATAGTGAGATGTTGCATTCAGAAATGAGATGGAAAAAAATACTTGTGAGGAAAGTTGTAGTAGTGAAATGTCCCTGACTATTTGCTTCGAAGATTTTAAATGTGTTTGAGCATTACCTTTAAAAGAAAGAAAGAGAGATCTGGTCATTTGATGTTTCAACAGTTAATCTTACAGTTAAATGATATTCAACACAGCACGTGATTTTGAGTTATGTTCAAGATGCATTTTACATCGTGAAAATAAATGCATTTGGGGTTTTGTAATAATCCCACTGTTTTAGAAGGAAGAAAATGTGACGTTGGTGGTTAACTATTAAAGTTTGAGTCCTCTGATGAGCCGTTTTTAAAGAGCGCCTGCAGTAAAAGAAAACATGCGGATATTACCAATGGATAGGTGTTTTATCAATACAGATTTTAAAATATGATAATGTATGCATAATAGTAAATGCAGCTCATTTTAAAAAAAGAGATGTATTATGACTGTGGAGATGTTGAATATTTCATCTTACCTTTTTTACAGATCGAGATTTTATAGATGTTTGAGGTTGTGATGAAGGTGTGACGTTTCTTTTTTTAATTAAATTCGGTTTTCTGAAAGTGTTGCCTTCTGCACATGACGTCCACCTCTATTTTCCACATCATTTGCTGCTGACCGACTACCACAGGTACACATACTCCAATGTGTTTTCCAGTTGAATTCCCTCTGACAGATAACTTTAATTGTGTAGTGAACTTATGGGTCATTACTTAAACAAATATTTTCTGAATTAACATTGTTTGATGTATGGTGCATTCCAACAATAAACATTCGGTCTGGAATTACAAGTCTTGCGTGGTGGGTCATGACTTTTGGATACACCATATTTATCTTGAGCCCTACTTTGCATCCTCCTTGGTTTAGCTCTTCTACCATTTCCTGTAGTTCACTGTCCTTGGTCTTTACAATAAGTAACAAATCATCAGCAAATTGTATTTATGCCCGTTTGTCATATCCAATTATTTGGGGCGGGGGGTGAACCCATCATGGTGCTGGTTTAGAAGTGGCCTTCCATCCAGCGGTGGGTGGCTACAACTGTGTGATGGGTTGTCGATGGCCGCTTGTGAAAATATATTTGCACAGTGGGTTACATATGGTGCAAAAGAAGTCCAACATACATACATACATATACAGTCAGTTTGAACTTTTTAAAATCCCTACTTAAAAAAAAATCAAAGATCCCCCCCCTCCCCCCCCATAGCCTTTTAACAGACTGTAGGGGCAAGTGCGATTAGCGAACTAGAACGGTACACGAGGGGGTGGGTGGCCAGCACCACTCCCGACCGCCTTTGTCTCCCCAGTAACGATGCTTACCACACCAGATCCTAATTTGATGCCGAGTCGACCTAGGTGAGGCCCAAGACCGGTTCAGATAATTGTCACTGGTGTTGGCCGTGAGCGGGAATCAAACCCGGTTCAGATAATTGTCACTGGTGTTGGCCGTGAGCGGGAATCAAACCCGGTTCAGATATTTGTCACTGGTGTTGGCCGTGAGTGGGAATCAAACCCGGTTCAGATAATTGTCACTGGTGTTGGCCGTGAGCTGGAATCAAACCCGGTTCAGATATTTGTCACTGGTGTTGGCCGTGAGCGGGAATCAAACCCGGTTCAGATCATTGTCACTGGTGTTGGCCGTGAGCGGGAATCAAACCCGGTTCAGATATTTGTCACTGGTGTTGGCCGTGAGTGGGAATCAAACCCGGTTCAGATAATTGTCACTGGTGTTGGCCGTGAGCGGGAATCAAACCCGGTTCAGATAATTGTCACTGGTGTTGGCCGTGAGCGGGAATCAAACCCGGTTCAGATAATTGTCACTGGTGTTGGCCGTGAGCGGGAATCAAACCCGGTTCAGATAATTGCCACTGGTGTTGGCCGTGAGCGGGAATCAAACCCGGTTCAGATAATTGTCACTGGTGTTGGCCGTGAGCGGGATTCAAACCCGGTTCAGACAATTGTCACTGGTGTTGGCCGTGTGCGGGAATCAAACCCGGTTCAGATAATTGTCACTGGTGTTGGCCGTGAGCGGGAATCAAACCCGGTTCAGATAATTGTCACTGGTGTTGGCCGTGAGCGGGGATCAAACCCGGTTCAGATAATTGTCACTGGTGTTGGCCGTGTGCGGGAATCAAACCCGGTTCAGATCATTGTCACTGGTGTTGGCCTTGAGCGGGAATTAAACCCGGTTCAGATAATTGTCACTGGTGTTGGCCGTGAGCGGGAATCAAACCCGGTTCAGATAATTGTCACTGGTGTTGGCCTTGAGCGGGAATCAAACCCGGTTCAGATAATTGTCACTGGTGTTGGCCGTGAGCGGGGATCAAACCCGGTTCAGATAATTGTCACTGGTGTTGGCTGTGAGCGGGAATCAAACCCGGTTCAGATCATTGTCACTGGTGTTGGCCGTGAGCGGGAATCAAACCCGGTTCAGATAATTGTCACTGGTGTTGGCCGTGAGCGGGAATCAAACCCGGTTCAGATAATTGTCACTGGTGTTGGCCGTGTGCGGGAATCAAACCCGGTTCAGATAATTGTCACTGGTGTTGGCCGTGAGCGGGGATCAAACCTGGTTCAGATAATTGTCACTGGTGTTGGCCGTGAGCGGGAATCAAACCCGGTTCAGATAATTGTCACTGGTGTTGGCCGTGAGCGGGAATCAAACCCGGTTCAGATATTTGTCACTGGTGTTGGCCGTGAGTGGGAATCAAACCCGGTTCAGATCATTGTCACTGGTGTTGGCCGTGAGCGGGAATCAAACCCGGTTCAGATATTTGTCACTGGTGTTGGCCGTGAGCGGGAATCAAACCCGGTTCAGATCATTGTCACTGGTGTTGGCCGTGAGCGGGAATCAAACCCGGTTCAGATATTTGTCACTGGTGTTGGCCGTGAGTGGGAATCAAACCCGGTTCAGATAATTGTCACTGGTTTGGCCGTGAGCGGGAATCAAACCCGGTTCAGATAATTGTCACTGGTGTTGGCCGTGAGCGGGAATCAAACCCGGTTCAGATAATTGCCACTGGTGTTGGCCGTGAGCGGGAATCAAACCCGGTTCAGATAATTGTCACTGGTGTTGGCCGTGAGCGGGATTCAAACCCGGTTCAGACAATTGTCACTGGTGTTGGCCGTGTGCGGGAATCAAACCCGGTTCAGATAATTGTCACTGGTGTTGGCCGTGAGCGGGAATCAAACCCGGTTCAGATAATTGTCACTGGTGTTGGCCGTGAGCGGGGATCAAACCCGGTTCAGATAATTGTCACTGGTGTTGGCCGTGTGCGGGAATCAAACCCGGTTCAGATCATTGTCACTGGTGTTGGCCTTGAGCGGGAATTAAACCCGGTTCAGATAATTGTCACTGGTGTTGGCCGTGAGCGGGAATCAAACCCGGTTCAGATAATTGTCACTGGTGTTGGCCTTGAGCGGGAATCAAACCCGGTTCAGATAATTGTCACTGGTGTTGGCCGTGAGCGGGGATCAAACCCGGTTCAGATAATTGTCACTGGTGTTGGCTGTGAGCGGGAATCAAACCCGGTTCAGATAATTGTCACTGGTGTTGGCCGTGAGCGGGGATCAAACCCGGTTCAGATAATTGTCACTGGTGTTGGCCGTGAGCGGGAATCAAACCCGGTTCAGATAATTGTCACTGGTGTTGGCCGTGAGCGGGAATCAAACCCGGTTCAGATAATTGTCACTGGTGTTGGCCGTGAGCGGGAATCAAACCCGGTTCAGATAATTGTCACTGGTGTTGGCCGTGAGCGGGAATCAAACCCGGTTCAGATCATTGTCACTGGTGTTGGCCGTGAGCGGGAATCAAACCCGGTTCAGATAATTGTCACTGGTGTTGGCCGTGAGCGGGAATCAAACCCGGTTCAGATAATTGTCACTGGTGTTGGCCGTGTGCGGGAATCAAACCCGGTTCAGATAATTGTCACTGGTGTTGGCCGTGAGCGGGGATCAAACCCGGTTCAGATAATTGTCACTGGTGTTGGCCGTGAGCGGGAATCAAACCCGGTTCAGATAATTGTCACTGGTGTTGGCCGTGTGCGGGAATCAAACCCGGTTCAGATAATTGTCACTGGTGTTGGCCGTGAGCGGGAATCAAACCCGGTTCAGATCATTGTCACTGGTGTTGGCCGTGAGCGGGAATCAAACCCGGTTCAGATAATTGTCACTGGTGTTGGCCGTGTGCGGGAATCAAACCCGGTTCAGATAATTGTCACTGGTGTTGGCCGTGAGCGGGAATCAAACCCGGTTCAGATCATTGTCACTGGTGTTGGCCGTGAGCGGGAATCAAACCCGGTTCAGATAATTGTCACTGGTGTTGGCCGTGAGCGGGAATCAATCCTGGGACGGGCGGGTTCATAGCGCAGCGCGCTAACAGCTTGCGCAAGTGCCCCCCCCCCCCCCGCCATACTCAACCACGCGCTTGCACACAACACCTGCGACCATTAGGGACAGAGCACATTCTCCACATGGACCGGCGGTGTGCACCGGCAATTGGTGTTCAGACCACAGCTGCTGGCGATGGGAGACGGATGACGACGCCCTGTGTGTGTGTTTTTTTGGGTGCTCAGCAGGTTCGGGATGGTCGCCCGTGGCCGATCGCCGCGCGCCACGGCGCTGTGGCTGGCGCTGTTCCTCGGCGCTGCCACGGCACTCCTGGCGCTCAACCCCGAGGACCCCAACGTGTGCAGCCACTGGGAGAGGTGAGCTCCGCGGTTCGTTTCGGTGGCTTTTATTAATTAAGTAGCATTTGATCTCAACGTGGCTTACGAGAAGGAAATATGTGCGTTAAAATGCAATGTGTGCATGTGATGCGAAGTTATGATTTTTTTTTTTAAAAAATCTGATTTAAATTTAATGTGATATAGTTATTTTTGCTTATTCAGCAGGCAGTCACGGTTAGTTATGCAATCAGATGTTAAATTAAAGAGTTGGGCATGCAGCACCTTAGCTTGTGTGCCAGGGCATGAAATTAAATGTGGGCAAATTATGAACAAATACAAAATAATTCGTTTGATTGCATTTTTCTGGCTTTATAAATATTTCACTACCTATTGATCCACACACATTCAGCATGGTTAATCAGGTACGGTGACTACCTTTTGATGGGAAATGATTTACAACAAATCCATTGTTTATGGTCAATTAATGTTTCAGATGACGCTGCCCTGCATGCCAGGTAACATTTTACTTTTGTTATCCGGACATGCCACGTAGCCTCCCCAAATAACAGTCGTATCTTGTCTGCCACTGCATAATGGACCTGCATGTTGATTATGCCAAAGATGTTCAAATACAGCTGTCACTGTTACAAATAAAGTATTTTCGTATCGTCACCATCGGCCATGATCTATTCACTGCTGGATGGAGAATTTCCCAAGCCGCAAGTCATCAACCGGTCTAGCTCCTGAGCACAAACTGATATCATTGCGTTAAATTGTGCCATAGACGTCTTCTTGGGCATTCCCCCCTTTGGTTGCCAATCTACCATTAGTCTCGACCACCGGCTACTATCCTTTTGTAGTGACGTGCCATGCCCAAGGCCCATTTACCTTTCTTAACAATCAATATTACATCTCAAACTTGTGTACGTTCTCTGAACGATGTTCAAGACTCAACTTACACACAAACGGACAGGATGACACTATACCTGGTTCGTGAGGCCTAATTAATGTGCACAGGTGCTTCCTCAAGCCTGGGTTTACACACGGGAGACTTGAGACCTTGTGTGTTTTTTCCTTCCTCTCCTCCACTATCAGCTACGCGGTGACTGTGCAGGAGTCATACGCGCACCCCTTCGACCAGGTGTACTACACCAGCTGCTCCGACATCCTCAACTGGTTCAAATGCACGCGGCACAGGTAAAGGCCACCGGCCGAGCAGCTCACACGTGACGCTTGGCACCAGCCGGCCTGGCGGGGCCAGTCCCATTTTGCCACCAGAATATGCAAGACTGGCCATGTGTCGCCTGGTGCCACTCAGCCGGCGCGTGTCGTCCGCAGGATCAGCTACCGCACAGCGTACCGGCGCGGGGCTCGCACCATGTACCGCCGCAAATCCCAGTGCTGCCCCGGGTTCTACGAAAACGCCGATGCTTGCCTGCGTAAGTAGAACCTCGAAGTAGGCCTCTTATTATATACACGTATATATATGTTTTTCTTCCCCCCCCGCTGGGACAAACAGAGCCACACCGGGGCCGTACCGAGCCAGCTCAGTGCGGCTCGGGAGACACCGCCGGAGGCGCCACCACCGCTAACATCACATGCAGTTAAACGAGTTTTGAGGCGCGTGCAGATGTAGTAGTTTGTGACGTCACACGCAATCAATGATTGCGTCATTAGCCCCTCCTTGGCCCTGCTTGGCCCCGAGCCAAATTCAGATATCTTGTGAGGCCAGTGTATCACAGTTTAGTTCTGGCTCAGTTCAGCATATAGCCAGTAGAAACCCCACCCGATCCTGTGAGAGCCCACCATGCTCAGTGCAGATGTGCCATTTGAATGGTTTATTTTCTTTTGAAGCATGGGCAGTGAATGGTTAATGTCACTTGAATGCATGGTCTATTGACAATCGAGGGATTGGTTCTTCTCCACAGTTTGCCAAGGTAGACGAAACACGTTTGTTGATGCTGAACTCAACCGATGGCCGTTTGTGGTGTTGCAGTGTATGCGGGTGAAAGTGTGTGCCTGTGTGATATTTTAGTAAAATAGCTGAAACCTGCATTGTGCATTGCACTGTTGATGGGAGGGAGAATCTACTGTTTGAAAATGCATTGCAGTCTAGTCTGGTTTATATTTGCAAGTTCATTTCTTTCATATCCACGGAAAACTCTGAACTCAATTAACTTGGCAAGTGAGAGGAATTGAGTGGCCATCTCTGAGTGGTTATTATTTTGTCCTTGTCAGGTCATTTAAGATGGTTTTTGAAAATTTAATGAATTGTTTCTGAGGCAGCAACAAAAAAAAACGAGAATTGCTGAATATCTGCACAAGAGAAACTTGTCATGATTCATTCAAAATGCATGTGGGTCATTTGGCACAGGTCTCAGTGTGGAACTTAAATACAAATGATTTTATTTTCAATCTTAAATAACATTTTATTATCATTCAGTCACATTATAGTTACCGTATAGTCCATATTTACATCAGCTAAGTATTTTGGTACAGAAATAATAATTACTACGCATTCGGGAAAGATTACTGCAATATCTCAAATAATATGCTCTTTTTTGCCAGCTGCATTAGTGCAAAATGTTTACAGTTCACATTATTTAGCAATTTATTTTTTTAAGTTTCTTATTCCTGCTGATTTCAATTAAAGACGAATTGGAAAGAAACATGATTTGTACGAACATTTAAAGTTAAAACCTAGTCCAATTAAAGCTTGTGTTATGCGGCTAATGGCAACATTACGGCTTTGTTATCTTTGCGTATTGTGTACAGTCGTCTCTCAGCCTCAATCCCATTCAAATTGCTGATTAGAATTCAATAAACGCAGTGAATGAGCTCCACTTTTTAATTGCAGCTCATGTTTATCTCCTTTCATTCGCCATTCCAAGTATGTTGCATAAACGCCAGCACATACTGTAGTTGGAAACGTACACAACCCAGGAGAACAAATGGCGCTTTCAACCATCCTCTCCTCCACTGTGTGCTTGTGCAGTTAGTACACCCATGTGAGAGAGTGTCCGCGAGAGTATATACAATTTTTTACGTGTCAATGTATAATTTTAATCGTATTGATGACAATAATTTACGTTCACGGTCAATCTATCGCTTGATGAATGCCCCCTCCCCTTGCTATATACGGGAGTTTGTTTTACGATATTTCACAATTCTGGTGAGGGCGGCTTGGGGAAGGGAGGGCCCAGGACGGGTTCTGATATCGCTCACCACTGACCTTAGCCGTGGCGGAGGATTCACGCTCAGGCCGTTGTGTTCGCATATCGGTGCATGAACCACTGCACCTCTACTCCCCCCCCCCCCACCCCCCCCCCCCAACGTGATTTTCCATATATAAATTGCAGAAGTATTGTGTTTGGCTCAACTGCTTTTTGTGGCGAGTTTGTTGTCCTTCCTCCGCACCTCCGATTAGCACGGTTGGCTACGTACGGTGCGAAAGAAGTTCAACATACATACACGCATAGCAAACTGAGCATAGGAAGCTATAAATATAGTTCTCTGCAAGTAAATAGTTTGTATGTATTATTTGTATGAAGTTGGAAGTGCTGGTGCAGTGGATTGCACACTGTGCTATGAATCCAGTGATCTGCGTTTGTTTCCCTGTGGCAGCTCATGTCAGTAGTGAGTGATATCTGAATCAGTCCTTGGCCTCTGCCCTTCAAAAATCCGCACTGACCAGAATGGTGAAGTATGGTCGAACAACCCCCTATGACTAACACAGCATTGGGGATGTCATCAGGCCTTCAACCAGCAGTGGATTTACAATGGGATGCACATTTTTATAGGCATGAATAAAGGGAGTTCTATAAAAAAAAAAGTTCCTTGGTCAATTGAATATACGTATTGAACATCAGAAATGAATAAGTAAAAAGTATACATTTGTAAGTTTCAAACTTTTTCAGTTCCTTAGAAGGTTGAGTTTAGGCACACGGTTGATATATGCTTATGAGAATTCAAGCTGCCAAAATCACTTGGGCACTGCCAACGAGAAACGGCAAAACGATTATTCAAAAATAGCAATAGGCTGAGCTTTCAATAAAAGTTAAATTTACTCAAATGAAATTTATTATTGCTATCATAATTTCTCACACGTCATTGGGGGGGAAAAGGTGGTAGGGTGCAACAGACATTGACGGGAATGGCCTGTGACTGATTGTGTCACAAAGTGTCCAGAATTCTGTCAAGACCCACATTTTATTTTGGCTCTCGTTGTAAAAGTTTCAGAGATGCACCGCAAATGGCATTCGGTGTGTGCACATGCAATGGCTGCGTGTGTTGGCTTACTCGCGCCTGAGCGAAATGTTCCTGACGACGAAACCTCATCAGACACATCACTCAGATAAAATAATCCACCTGACAATGGCAATGTGCTTTAGGACAGATTGACCCGCTTGCCGAGGAAGCCCGTTTAATTTTCGCTCTCACGCGTCCCACGATACGTGACTGAGCGCACCCAGCCGTGTGAAGAACTGTGGCAGTTCACCTTCCAAGCAACGACGCAAGCATTACCAACCATCCACATGGATGGATTAAAAAAAATGTCTTGCAAAGATATGATGATGGAACACTCTGTGGTCTGAATGAATCAATAGACCCAATGGAAAACAGAGCAATGCCTATTATCCAAAGATGCACCCTAATACCACATGAATATTTACACTGCGCTGAGATGTATTGACTTAACATGGAAATGCTATTCTGTCGAAATATGCAGTGTGGAAAACAATCCTGATTAGTTTTTTTTTTAATATTGACATGTTTTTCACATTTGAAATGTAGCCATTGAGACAAGGTGCAAACACCCGTTAAATTCAAACATTCGGTTGGTCTTAAGAAAGCACTTTAATTTAAACTTCACTGCTAGATTAGTTTAATCAACTCTGGCATTATAAATCAAACTCAGTTTGTATTGATTTCCTGCAGGAGGGTATTCTTGTTTGATTATTTAATGTTTTGAGAGTTTTGTGCCAAAATATTTAAATTGGTTGGCACCAGATTAAGTCAAACAAGTCTTTAATTGTATCACTAGCATATAGTGAATGAAGCCCTTAAAGTATGTTATTATATTAAATGTTATTATATGTTATTATAATTAATATTATTGTATTACATGCATTTGAGTTACACTTCTTGCAATATCACCCCATTAAAGCATGCAATATAAATATGAAGGAGCAAATATTACGAAAGGGTTATCTGCAATAAAGCGAGAACAAAACAAAGAGCAAGCAATGGCATGGTACGCAACACGATGGGAATTAATTTCATTACATTGTAGCTACATTGCTCCATAAAATATTGCTCTCTACATGGTGTAATTAAAGGCATCGGCTTTTCATTTTGTTTGGCTGTACATAAAAAAGGTAAACTATTTATTTGCCGATGCCGCTGCATTTGCAGTGGTGCACAAGTGTGATGAACAAATAAACCAACACATTTGTCAATAACACCGCCTTAAAAGGAAAAATATATATTCGGTGACTTTTTGCGCTGTGAAGTAGGGCCATTGCCTAAAACGTTGCGTATTATATATATCCTATGGTTCAATCGGTAATATCACGTAGATAGAAAAAATTACAATAAAATAAGAAAAATAAAGTGAATAAAAATATCACGACATTTCGATCGCAACACAAGCGCAACACAAGCGCAACACAAGCGCTTGTATTGTAATGTTTCCTATCTACGTGATATTACACAAGCGCTTGTGTTCCAATCGAAACGTCGTGATATTTTTATTCACTTTATTTTTCTTATTTTATTGTAATTTTTTATTCTATCTACGTGACTTTACCGAAAGAACCATAGAATACGAATTCCTGCAGTCACGAAAGTTTTAAGTCAAAATATTATATATATCTTTCTCTTCTTTGGTTCTTTCGGTAAAGTCACGTAGAATGAGAATAAAATAATAAAATAAAATAAGACAATAAAATTCTCACGACGTTTCGACCACAACACAAGCGGCCTTCCTCAGGTGAAGAAACAGAGTCTATCCAGGAGACAGAGCCCGAGTGGACCCCGTCACGCCAGGATTGAGTCTTATTAAGGCTGTGTGGGCGGAGTTGGATGAGCATGTTACCAGCCCCCACCCGGGGCGGAGGAGGGAGGGGTGGCTGGTGGAAACAAACACTAATTAATCCTAAACAAGCTTCCCCAGCCAAGGTGCGCGCCGTGTACCGAGCTGCACCATGACATGCCATAAGGACCACTATGCAATACAATACCATATACCTTCAAATCCAAACTGCATGTTATAACATAGACAAATTCACCTTTGAATTATACAATGCGTTACTTTATACTACCCCGTACTTTAGACTATAAAAATATTAGACATTGTAACATTATACTATGTCTTATTCTATGAATCCAACTATATATCACACTAATGTATATTCACTATGCAATTACGATGCTATAT